TAAGCCACATATCAGATCATTCAATCCTTCAATCATATTCAGAAAAACTGTACAACTATTACCAAAGTCAATTGTAAAACATTTTCTACACCCCACCCCCCAATTAAGTCGCCTTTACAATGAGTTGTGAAAATCCCATTCAGTTCTAGTGCTCCTCCCCCGCCCAGCTTCATTGTTTACCCCCCAAATCCTCTCACCTTCCCCATCTTCCCCACTAGCCCCCCATCCTCGCTCCTTCTGTGCTTCACCAACTGGTAACCCCCACAGAGACAACAGTAAAGAACAAAAACGAATCACGTGCCAAGGATAAACCAGGAGTAATATGAAGATAAAAATAGAAACAGCGAGTAACAAAGAAAAGATCACCATCAGTACTTTAAGGGCCAGGGAAGAACTGTTTGTCGTGGGATAAGGCAGAGATGCACATAGAACAAGTTCAGGCTGGGGCTCGAGGGAGGTCGCCTGACCCAATATCAAGCTTGATCCAGCATCATCAGGATGACAATGACCGAGGTTTGACAGTCAGGCTGCCGTTCCTGTGGCTAGAAGAGACCTGGCAGCATTTTAATCGGACTCGATCTTGGGCTCCCACTGTCTCACAGCACCTCTTTAGGGCAGGGCAGGACTTCCCCTGTTCGTTTCTGAGACTTCAGCTGTTTACAGGCGCAGATAGGCCTGTCTTTCCCCTGAAGAGCAGGTAGTGGTTTTGAAATGCCGACCTTGTGTCTCATAGCGTAATGGGTACACTGGAATTCTACCTGAAAGGGTGGAGATTCAAGTGGACCCAGAGCCAACTAGGAATAAAGGTGGGGTCATCTACTTCTGCAAAAGCAGCCACTGAAAACCTTGTGGAGCACAATTCTACTGGGACCTCTGGAGGGTCACCGCAAGCTGGACTTGATGTGGCAGCAGCTGGTGCCTTCTTCAATGTCCCACGTGGTCGGTGTGGAGAAGGAAGGTCTTGAAGCAATCGTTTAGAGAAGGCTTTGCATAGGTACAACTTTGCTATTTTAACCCTTCCTCCTTCCCTATTCTGGTACGAATAGCAAGCATTTCCAACATGTCAAACTGCCTTATAGATTGATCTGTTGCGTGAGGGCCTCCCAATAGGGTGCTTCTGACTTATGGTCTTTGGTTATCTCAAGCATGCCTCATCTGAACATCTCTTTTTCCTCTGCTCATCTATTCGTTTGGGAACATCACCACCAGATCGACTCCTGAGTGCTACCCTAAGAATCAACACTGAATCCATGTGGAAATGGAGTGCTTACATACAGACCCCACAGGGTGAGTTATCGACAGTTTCTCAACCTCCTTTGCAAGTCACCTGCTAACGTATGTTTTATCTTTTTTTTTAAAGTATACTATGTTAGCTAAAGACATGGCATAAAAACTCCAAAATGAAATTTGGTGGCAATGTAATTTTATAATGAATAGCCAGCTATGAATATCACCAACTCATTGATTTCGTATGATTAAATATTCAAGAATGTCACAAACTCATTTTGGGGGGAGAATTCTAGTGAGTTCAGAAGCCCCCAGCCCAGAAAACGACAAGTCAACCCTTAGTGTCCTGGGTGGTTTAGTGTCGTATAGTGCCCCCACCGAGAGGGAGATCTTTCTGACACCTTCTCACGCAAGTTTCTCTGCAAGTGTTTAGTCGTCCTAATGGGTCAGATTTTGAGTGAAGATTACCTCCTATTTCTGGAACCATAATGCTGAGTGTCTCTGATGAGAAATGTAATGCAAAATAATGACAAGGATAACCTCCGGTGTTCAGGAAACACACATTTCTGTGATCAAACACACATTTCAGATCTCAGACTTGATTTATTTTATTTATTTTTGCTTTCAGATTTGTTGAATAAAATGTACAAATCCCCTCTTCCTCTTCACCCACCATTATGCGCCCCCAGCACACACACACACACACACACACACACACACACACACACACAAGCAGGGCCAGGTCATAACCCAGAGGCTCCCAGCACACACACACACACACACACACACACACGCTGACCTTGGCTGACTATTCACTCACATTGGCTCTAGGTCACCGGGCTTTTTAGAGGGACATTGAACTTGTGAAGTTCTCCTTTTTTCTATATACTACATTACAAAGAATAGCACTGGACATGTCAGTGCCTACAATGTTCTCTAGGAATAGATCAGTTAAGCAGGAGAAAAAAATATATATATATATCTGGAAGTTTACTATTTTTCCACCAATATATTTGGCACCGCCTCTGGAGTGTGAACAAAGGGCACAGTGTCAAGCGGACAGAATGTTACTGTTTGTCCCTCACGAGCACAGAGGTATATTTCAGCAAAGAAAGACATTCCACCACTCTCCTGGGACTGTTTTCCTTCAACTAAATTACACCAACATGTTCACACCACTGTGGTTCAGGCTCTGCCGGGGATTTAAAATGCAGGCTTTTTCTTGCCCACCCTTAAAAAGCCACAGCCATAAAACTCATATTGGGTTGGAGCCTGGCTTTTACATATCAGGGAACAGACAGGGGGTTATTGGCCAGAATTGTAGGCACCCATTCTATTTCGTTAGGAGATACAAAAATAAGGAATGCCTTTGTCCGACAGATTCCTATACTTATACAATAAAGCCTCAAAGTCGTCAGGAGTCACCTGGTTTGGGATTATGTTTCAAATCCAGGGTCATTGACATTCATGAAGCTTTTGGCAAACGTGAGCCAAGTTTCGAGCAAGGCTGGCCAGACAGCTTCCATACAGGAGGAGCCTGTGTGAAACTCGGCTCTCACTCGGTTTCACCTGGAGTTTCACATCAAACCATTCGGTTTCAAAGTAGAATGAAGGGCTGAGGAGAAGCAAGAAAGGACGAAAGGAAAGAAGAGAATGAAGAAAGAAAGAAAGAAAACCAAAGAAAGCCAGAAACAGAAGATACCAGGGCATGAAAAGAAAGGTTTGCCTGCCAATGGAGTGGCTGTCTCCCACCTTCCGGGCTCATTTCACCGGAGGCTCATTGCTTCAGCCACTGAACTTGCCCTTCACACGATCAGTGCCGTTAGCACAGTGAGATGATGGCTTCCCAGCACTGGGCGGGGCAGGTCATTCTAGAGCCTCAAAGGCCCAAGAAACATTAAAGCACATGCTCGAAATAGGCTGGAGGAGCTAAAAATATGATGATTAGTATACTTCTTATAATGCCCATTTGATAATGGGGGGTAATCAATAAATGGCTGGGATTTAAAAGTAGAGGGAAAAAAATGAGGCTGAAGAGTTCTAGATTTTCCTAGTGTTCATCCAGGTTCTGAGAGCTCAATAGCCTGCTGCTCCTCGTCTGGAGCAAGCTCCCCCCCAGCCCGTCTCATAGCTCCACCCCGTTAGAAACTTGTTCCGCACAGTGCACTGGCTTCCTTCCTGCGCAGCCAGGTGCAGGGGGCCCGGAGCAGCCCGTGTCAGCCCCAAGGAGCCAGGGCCCTTGACTAGGACTTAAGCTCTGTCTCCTGACAGGAATAAGCCCATTCTATTCCCAACCCTCAACACAAGGGATAGGGGAGAGTTGGCCAAGGGTCATCACACTTGGTATCTGATTAAGGACTTGAAAAATAGTATTTTGTTTGGGGTGGGGCCCAAAAAGAATAGCAAACTTAAATGTCATTTACACATGAGTTTTCTACAACATTTTAGAGTTGATCAAGTGACTGCAAAAAAATACTGCCTTCTATGTCTATGTTGAGAGACAGATATTGTTTTCTTTAGGATGGTTATTATTTACGCTTTCTGCCCCATAGCCCTCCCACAGCAGACACCCACCGGCATCACACGCTTTGGGCTACTGAGGTTTCTGGTCAGGGGGTCTTTTTAACTGTTTTCCTTTTTATTTCTCTTTTATTTATTTAAGACACCCGGAAGATGACTGGGCGTTTAAAATGCCTGTTTTCTTTGGACGGACGGTCTGGGATACCAGTAAACCATCTCTTTAGAGGGTGGGGGGAAAGAATCTTGAGACCCCAAGGGTTTCAATGTGGATGTTAGAAAAAGCAGGAGACCGGCTGGGGGCACAGGGTAATTTGGGGACAGGAAAGCACTCCAGAGAGGGGTGGTTAGAATCAGACTCGGCTCTGTCATTTGCTGCTGGCTTTTAGACTTCTGCTTGGAACGCAGCACAGTGTTATCAGAAGTAAAGACCCCAAACGGTCCAGTCTGGGGTCCCTCGACGAGTGAATCGTAAAGCAGTGTCAGTGAAAAGTCCCCAAATCCCAATAAAGGATTTAAAGGAAATGCTATCAGAGCATTAAACCTCCTCCTTCAAAAAGTCACTTTACTGGACGTAGTAAATACCCACAATCAAAGTAAAGGTTGCGTTTGAAGTTAAAGTCCACAAATCAAAGTACTTTTCAGAATGTCCAGAGTGAGGCGGGGAAGAGAGAGACGGGTGCAGGAGACTGAATGATCACGTTAGAGAAACGTGCCAGAAAAAGCGCTCCGCAAACGGTACTCGGCGAAGGTATTTTCAAAACGGAATCACGGAAATCATGATAGGAATACACACACACACAGCAGTTACTAAAGCAGTGACGAGAGGACAAAATAGCTTATATTGTCCTTCGAGAACAATTATTAATACATTTCCTTTACTCTGGTGGCTGCCTTCCTATATATACATTTTTAAATGCCCGTAGGAAGGTAAGAATCAGTAAGCAGTCTAAACAACTAAATTATGATGTCTGGAGGGTCCTCGGACTGCCTGGCAATCAGGCTTAATTAGAGTTCTGACCCATGGCTCAGTCAGAGGCTAGTCTGCAGCAAGCCAATATTACAGAAAGCTGTCAGCGAAGTTTAAAATCTCAGTCACCAAAATCCACTGATGCCACGGCGGGGTTCAGAAACGCAACATCTACTTGGAAATCCATGGCAGCTCCAGCTTATTTTCAGCACGATCCATTTATTTACAAACCTTGCTCACAAACACATCACACACGGATGAAATAAGTCCAGAGAACGCATCTTACCTATTGGCCGCTGACTTCAAGAGTTGCTCTCGACAGAGGAAGTGGGAGCCAGTGGTCTTTCACATGTAGAGAATGTTTACTTAGCCCTTTTGAAAAGGTCTTGAACTCCAAAGGTTTCAGATTAAATCCTATCCAAGGGTCTGAAAGGAAAAAAGGCAAAGCGAGAAGGCAAATAAGAGAGGCAAAGAATCCCAGCTGCTGGCATGGGAGCTATTTTCAGCATGAACAGGAGCAGGGGTTGTCTCCAAAGGGATGGAAATGCAGCACCCGAATCACCCCCCTCTACCCCCCCACCCCGGGGGGAAAAAAACCAGAAACCAGGAAACCCACAACAACTTGGTTCATTGTGCAAATATTCATTTAAATTGTGAGGAAAACTGCCAGCACTATTTAAAAAAAAAAAAAAAAAGCTACTGGAAGCTTAAAGAAACACAGTTTCTTGTTTCAAGTTTGCAAAAGGATTTACCTGATTTTGTTGAAAACAAGCTGTCATACGTGTATGCCTGCTTGGAAGGAAAGACTTCTGGTATACATTAGTTTGCTCATACGGGTCTTAAAGAGTACTTCAGACCTCTTCGATGGAAATGTCTGTTGCCAGCCGATTCTTCTTAAGACTGAAGACCCGTGGTTTATTTCTAGCACACACCTAAATTTCCAGTTTCATCAACTATGCTATTTTTGAAAGCTCCGGGGTTAAGCTGTTGACACTGCTTATCTGTTGGCAGAGACTCGGGACCACTCAGTGACAAGATGCAGACAGACTCCGACTCCCTGTTTCTGCCCCCACAGGCCAATGAAGCAATAATTCCGATGAGGTCACCCCTGATGACTGGCGAACTTTGAGTTTTCATTATGCTTTCCTAGAATTGAAACTGAGGTCTAGTCCTTGTATCCCTTCATTCCTCCTCTCATTCATTTGTTCCCCTGATGACTCATTCACTCTTCAAATACTTACCTAGCAACCAATGCCCTGTCTACCATTTGCCAAGTCCTCAGAGAATATAATGGAAGGCAAAATATTCATGGCCATTGCTTTAGTTAGCTTACAAGCATAATAAAGACTGAAGACAGAAATTGTGACAAAATTTTTCAGTCCTTTTTTAAAAATGATAATACTGCTTCAATCATATCCTCTTGAGATTAGGATCTGTGACCCAAGAAAGATACAGCATGTCATCAGACCAACTCTTGGCTTTCATTATCCCATCATGCTTTTCACGATGCCACTAACAAGGCCAATTAGTTACTTCCTATTAAGGAAACTTTTTTGAAAGCCTTCATTCCATGTATTCTATTGCCCATAATAAAGACAATGCTTCACACAGTCAGAAAGTAGCGCTGAGAAATTCTACATCAAGAGGTAGAAAACATACTCTAATTTTAATGTAATAAAATATCACCTTAGAAGATTTTATAATTATTATAGAGGTCAGTTATGAGATCTCTACTATTATCCAATTCTTTTTTGCCTTGAAAGAAAGACTTTGAGATTGGTTACAGCAAATACTGAGGGTTCTGTGTGACATGAAAAAGGATGATACGACTACTTTATTTCAAGACCCACATGGTCTGCAATGCAAAATCACCATCAGTTCCACTGATGGTGGAGAAAGACTGGGATTTCTACTCCCACAAACAGGTATAAGCTCAGAAACTCACGGAGTCACTATGAGTTAGCATTGGCCCGATGGCAGTGAGATAGGACAACAGTGAAATTATATAGCTTACTATACCTTATACTAAAACTATATTACACACTTAAAATTCCAAAAAGTTTGACTTTAAACTTTAAAGTTAACAATAAAAATTTAAAGATTTGCTTTTCCTAAAAAATAAAAAAGAAACACACATATCAATTAAAATATGCAAATATGATTGAAGTGGCCCCAAATATGTGTATATTAGGTTTGTTTATGAAAAACACTGTAAAGTTTTTTTTCTGTTCATTTATTTGAAATGGTCACATTTTATATCTTATTTCTTATTAAATGGTCATGGTTAATATCTTACCTATACACCAGTGAAAAATATATTTGACCATGATGTTACTTGATCATTCCAGTGGCAAGTATTGAAAAATTTTATTCTTGAAGACATTTTTAGACAATTGTTTATACCTTTTTCTTTGTATAATAACTTATAATACAAAGGAAATATATTCCAAAAGTGGTATTCCTTGAGAAATGATGGTAGTTACCAAACAAATAAAGATTAACTATGTGATTGCTAGGTCAACCATTATTTTAAAATGCTAACTGCATGCTTTTCACATCATTTCTAAGGGAAAGCCTATTGCTACATTCTGAACTAGTAGGCTTATAGTGTGTCAAAACTTGTGCTTGAGAACACAGGTTAGGATGATGCTAAGATCTTTTCAGGATGGTTTTCTGAGGTCTCCTTTGTTCCCCAAGGATTTGAGTCATCTAAACAGCCTCTAAATATGCACCTTCCAACAAATTTGATATAACAGTAGAGACCGTTAGACTTTAAGCATACGAAGGGTTAAAAAGATAATCAAACAAGCAAAAAACAAAAACACTCCTAACCCATGGCCATCGAGTAGATTCCGACTCATGGAAAACTCATGTGTTACAGAGTAGAACTATACTATTGTCTTGGGGTACTCTCTTGGAAGAAGAGCATTAGACTATTTTATGAGGCACCGATGAGTGGGGTTTAACTGTCAACCTTCAGATTAGCAGTCTATTGCAAACAAGGATCCTAAATTTTTTTTTCTTTTTTAACATTTTATTAGGGGCTCATACAACTGTTATCACAATCCATACACACATCAATTGTGTAAAGCGCATTTGTACATCGTTTCTCAAAACATTTTCTCTCCATTTAAACCCCCGACATTGGGTCCTAATTTTTCCCCTCCCTCCCCGCTCCCCCCTCCCTCATGAGCCCTTGATAGTTTATAAATGGGTATTTTGTCATATCTTGCCCTGTCCGACGTCTCCCTTCATCCACTTTTCGGTTGTCTGTCCCCCAGGGAGGAGGTCACACACAGTTCCATGTAATCGGTTCCCTCTTTCCTACCCATTCTCCCTTTACCCTCCCTGTTTTGCCACTCACACCACTGGTCCTATAGGGCTCAAGGGATCCTAAATTTTAACTAATACTCAAGTCCTTCTGAGCTATTTGTCTTTTTGTTGTTCAGTTGTGGAAGTGATATATATATATATACATTATATACTACATATTATGTGTATATGTATGTATTATATATACACTATATGTATATATTATATGTCAGTGGTTCTCAACCTGTGGGTCGCAATTGCTTAGGGGGTCAAATGACCCTTTCACAGGGGTTGCCTAATTCATAACAGTAGCAACATTAGTTATGAAGTAGCAATGAAAATAATTTTATGGTTGGGGGTCATCACAACATGAGGAGCTATATTAAAGGGTTACGGCATGAGGGAGGTTGAGAACCATTGCGATATGCATACATCTATTCTATTCTTACATATACTTATGTTATTATATTGTTGTTGGATGTGTGGTTTTCCAAGATATTTTCCTAGTGAGGAGCTATTCTTTTCATTTCCTTGGTAAAGTCTATTGATAAACAAAGTTTTTAATTTTTATGAGATCCTAATCATTTATTTTGTCTTTTGGTGTTTGTGTTTTGGTGATTAGGTACTCTGGTTCCTGAAAACTAGACCTGATAAAAATGTTATTATACTTTTGGTTTATACATTTAGAACCTTCTAACAGATTTGATATCACAGTAGAGACCAAGTTAGACTTTAAGCATATGTTAAAGTGCAGGAAAATCAACCACAAAAAAATCTATTTTGAATTTGTTTTTGTGTATGGTGAGGTATGGATTCTGTTTCACTTTTCTGCATATGGAAATTCCATTTTCCCAGCACTATTTATTAAAGAAACTTTTTTCCCCCATCTAATGGGCTTAGCACCCCTTGTAAAAATGTGTATGGTATAGACGTGTGGACTTAGCATTACATTGGTCTACATATCTACTGATACACCACTACCAGGCTGCTTTGATTACTGCAGCTATGTCCAACAAAACAAAACATGGCTACAGAGTTGAATCCCTATAAAGGGATTCTGATAGTATAAGTCTTTCCAGGAGCAGAGCAACTGTGAGAATTGAACAACCACCAACCTTGCAATTAGCAACCCAATTAGCCTATCATCATCAAAATCATCATCACTAGTAAAAGTGTGAAGACATGAATGGCAGTAGAGAGTTTCAATGGAGAAATCTATAGCAAGCGAAGAGCGCATTTGTGACAAAAAACTTCCTGAAAACAACAAAAAGTCCTTGAGCAAGTGGCTCCTCTGGGAAATTCTAGCGAGCATGTAGAGAAGAATTTACACCAATTCTGTTTAAGCTCTTCCAGAAGATGGATAAAAAAAGTGGAACAAAACTCAAAATCACAAGAGAGACCAGGTTTACTGGTTGGAAAGAGACAGGTGGGACCCCCATCACCATGGCCTTTACTCACCGTCAGGGCTAGCGCTGAAACCACCTCTATGGTAAAATCATTAGCCACATTTACTCAGCGATGAAAGTGAGAGGTTAGGAAAGAAGGCATATTGGAAACAGGAAACACAGGGAGAAAGCTGAATAAGTGATGAGGCATTAAAGGGATGACAGTGGATGAGTTAAAGCAAAATGCACATACATTGTTGGATGTAAAACAGATCATCTACTCTGTAAACCTTCACATAACTCACAATAAAATTTTTAAAGAAATCAAATCAAACCAAATATCAATCAATTAAACAATGTATTGCATCCGGCAGATCTGCTACCAAAGCTCTCTTTTGAAGCATTAAATAGGGAAAATGTCAGTCAGGACTATGGTGCACCTGACTCAAGTCATGCTTTTTTCTGAAGCTTTATATGCAAGGGAAAGTTGGGTAATTAATAAGAAAGACAGGAAAATAATTAAACAGTTGTTTTATGTTTGTAGAGAACATTGAAAGTGCCAGTGGACTGCCCGGAGAATCAACAAATCTGTCTTGGAGAAAGTGCAGGACTGCTCCTTAGGAGCGAGAATGGAGAGACTCCTCTCATTGGACAGCTGTAAATCTGGTACGCAGTTGGTGTTGGCTAAATGAATACAATATCCTTGGAACTGGTCACATTTCCATATTTGACCTAATTTGGTAATAGCTTTTTCAGAAACTATGCAGAGCTGCATGAGCATTCGTGTACATGGCTTCATGAATACACACATATTTTGAAGGTTTCTTTGAGAGTTAAAACATTTTCCCAAGGGAACTCAGTCAGTATTCTCATTGATATCACATCACTTCCTAATATTATTTGAGAGGGTCTCAGCAGGAAGGAAGCGATTAGAGTTTTCCCAGGAAGATTGTTCTCTAGGGTACATTTCCTCTCCCCTCGAAGTCCTTTGAAAAGTGAGTTGTATTATAGATTTTTGAAGGCTTTCATGGCTCATGTCAATGCAGATGCATTGTCTAAGGCTCCAGGAGAACAATGTGTCATTCTCTTAGATATTTTCGTGTTTAGGGCGAGGCCAAGAGACCATCTGAGCTGCCGGCATACATTCCAAAGATGCATTGAAATGGCAGTTGGATTCTCAAGCTATATGACTGTAGAAACCAGACAATGCTGACCATTGGAAGAGGTAGACCACCAAAGTCAGGCACGGATGAAAACAATGAA